TCAAAAATTATAAAAAAATACTTAAAACAGAAACTTTTTACTCTCTAAAAGACGTGACTTGTAAAAAAAAAATTATGGAACGATATGTACAACCCGCTTAAATTATTACTTGTACTTATTACCCATTCAAAAAGGTCAAATATTGTACAAAAATAAGAGATAAATTTCAAGTTTTTGCAATAATAAAATTGTGGGTCGGGGGAGCGTTTCTTATATAAATACGAACCTACCTGGCAGTACGAGTACATGCTAACCGGGCTCCAAATTATATCAAAATTTTTATTTTTAGCTTCAGCTTCAATATGGGCCTTTGTGAAACATTAAAAAATTTATTTTGTAGAACTCATTGACTCCAATTAATTAGTTTACTTCAGTTAGCTGCAACTATTCGCGAGTGCGGACGTATCGTTGCATTCTACTGTGATAAAACGTCTGAGTATACGAACGAAGAATACGCTGACATCTTGTTCTGTTACGGTTTGTGTGATGGTAAAGCTGCTGCGACACGAAGAGACTATATGCGACGCTACCCTAGTTGATAAGCGCCGAGAGTTAATAATAAAAAACGTACCTTTTTTCCAATACAAGTTGACCACGGCGAAGAAGATGCCCGAACAGAGTAAAGCCACTACACACATCCAATACTGCAACAAGATTCTTGGCATTAATCAAATTAGGTTTATAATATGTAAAGTCTTATTTGTAAAAGAAAAACAATGTCGTAAGACTTTATTACTAACATCATAAACAACAACTTTTGCTCCATGACTTTTAACAATTCATCAGATATTACTTTCGTACAAAAATAAAAGTATTTAAATAGATCGCTCTAAATGATGATAACTGTGCGGTAGCAAAAGAAAACGCCCACTACCAAAATTATTTTATGAAATAAAATAAATTTGGTAGTATAAGTATAGATCTAAAAAATGTCAGAAAAACTTAAAAGATTATTTTTAATAAATTTATTATGTTTTGTACAACAACATAATAGCAACGAACACTCATATCGCCGCACTAGGGAAACCCTGTATCGCGGGTGCCATGAACACATACATAGACAACCACACAAATTACACCAAAAACTCACGAGAGAAACAAATGAAGAGAAAAAATAGGCCATACCAATATTTCTCCCGGCCCGAGAATCGAACCCGGGACCACCTCTGCGTGACAGACCAACATGGTAACCGTTCGACCACAGTGGCAGTTATCGTATAATATTACATAATAACTTATTTTGCCGTTTATACTCAAAGCGTTTCTCTTATAAGTTATAAGATTATCGGTTCCTTCAAGGAGGCGATGCATATTTGAAAAAATGCATCGCTTCCGCCTCGCCATCGCCTCAATTTGGTGACATTAGTTTTTTTTAAATATGTATTTTTTTTATATTTGAAACTCGCGTAAATACGCTTTTCAATACAATTTTTATTTTCAAATAACAATAACAAAAAACTTTTGTAAGCACGCTTTCATTAGAAGTGTGCCACGTGAACAGAATTAATATTACTGGCGGCTTTTTGTTGCTTTTCACTATACAATTATAAAATCAGATAAGGGCATAAAGATACCTCAAAAGTGTACACAGATAAAAAAAAAAAAATCGCACGCCAGCAAAATTGCTTCGCAACGCAAGATGAGTTCCACATTGACTCGATCTTCAACTTTCAAATAATCCTAAAGTTACACTTATATCAACTTACTTTCCCTAAACAGATTGCGTCTTAAACTTATATAAATTTATAAACAAAATAAGTAGAAACGAATCGCAACTCTAATAATAACCGATGGGAATACACATTACGTTACACTTTCACTAATAAATCTTTCATACTTTCTCTACGCTTCCGATAGCGCGTATTGAATTTATTTATGTGAGACCCGAGTTCGATTTCTGGTAATGCAAAAAATAAAATAATATATTGTAAATCATAGTATTAATGACGCAATTAATTAATTTAAATTGTAATGTTTTCAAAATGCACAATATCGTTTTTTAATTCTTCCTCATTCACATTATATAAATTATTAAATTCATTCCATATTTTTTCGTCATTTTGTAGTTACGAGTTGAAACATAACTACTTGCATTAAAGATGCCATTAAATCGCACGAGGACATATATTTTAAAGTATCATCACAAAAAATTTCGAAGGACTGAGTGAAGATTCCGAGAAACTTGAATTTGCCCATATTTAAAATGATGTAGGTAGTAGACTTCGACAACTTGTAACAATAGTAATAAGGTTTAAATGCAGCTTTTGTAGAGCAATCTTCCACGCTGGACCACTGAACATGTCTAAATTTACATTCAAAGACGCTCACTCAGGTAACGATTTTCGTTCGCGCAAACAAATTGTACAATAACAACCAAGGGAAGCACTATTAGAAGCACATAATAGTATACTAGTAGCAGTAGAGCTCCTTGTAAAAGAGTTCGACCAGGAAAGTACTGCTACCCATTTCTACCGCCAAGTGGTAATGTGAGAATTGTTGTGTTCTGGTGGTTTAAAGGGTAAAGGTGTATTGTGTGCTGGTGAAATTATAGGCACATAGGACTCGTCAACTTAGTTAAAGGCATGAGTGGGGCTGCAATTGTTATGGATAGGCGTGTCGCTTATTATCAACCGCGTGACTTTTTCGTCCCGTCTTTTGGCATCATAAAATAATAATAAGGCGAAACTCCCTATTTTCAATATCATTACAGCAGTTAACGCCCGCCAGTTCTCTGAACGCACAAGAACCAAAACTACAAGAATATCAAATGATTTACATATATTAAATATAAATATTATAATATTTCCAAAAGCAATTTCGTGAAATTGTCCGTCGAAATGTAATATCCATGAATGTATACATATTGGAATAAGCCCGAAATCCACGACGAAATATACTGTAAGTAAGTAATCAAAATAACCGAAGCGTTGTCAGCCGATACACATTCGCGTTGCTGGGTTGCACGCTGGCGACCCCAAAAACTGGTTGACCGTTGCAACAATATTGCACGCAAATGTATACTGAAGTCATCACGGCTGCAATATCAACATTTAGCGCGCTTATTAAGGCATAGAATTAATACGAGGGGTACATAACACATTAACGCTTAATTATGATCGTGGACATTTTGAATGGGGCTCAGACATGAGTTGTGTGATAAACAGAGGCTCACGAGAGACCAGAGAGAGAGACCTCTGTATTAGTATGCAACAATTTAAACAAAAGTACAGGCTTCAATAATCAATATTTTAATTTCACGGATACTCCTACAGTCATTGTATATAGCTGTCTCTACCGTCGTTATGACATTAATTATGCCCACAAAGTACACAACGCAACGAGTAGAGGCCGGCAATCAAGTAGTTAACGCTCCCACATATCTTGACTGCCGTCTATGCTGGATTGCTGCATTATTAATGCACATGCATTAGTTTGATGCGCAGTATTTGCTCAATGTAAAATACCCATTATCATAATTATAATAAATAACGCACAGCTCATGTAAAATAAAGACGTGGCATGGTGACGGAAATGTATGGTTGTAGTTTCAAAAATAATTAGATCAAACAAAACAAATTATGACTTCACTAATTATGCATATTTTCCGTGTAAACAACTCATCGGTAATTCTTGTAAAAATATGTACTGCTTACTCATTGTAATTAACTTGAAGTTACTACGATTATCTACATCAGGGTTTCTTAATCTGTGGTCCGTGGACCCCTAAGGGGTCCGTGTAATGAACAACGTGGGTCCATGGTGTGCCTACCTAACAAAATGCATTAATATAAAAATTGGTATATAATATGTTATACAGTATGTATATAGTATGTTGTGAATAAATAGGTACTGTAAATAGGAACGGTCACGTCGTTTTGAATTTTCGCGCCACTTGACGGCCATCCATTATTTTAACGTCAACGACTTTGACGATCTAATCATGGTTTTAATTCGGCATATGCAACAGCAACCACCACGCAACCTATTCAAATGTAAAATTTGATCGCAAACAATAAAAGCTGGTAAAACATAAACCTCGTTTCTTTATTTTTTTGAAAAAAATCCGTGAGCTCTTTGATATTTTTAGAAGGGTCCTTGACTAGAAAAAGATGAAGAAACCCTAATTTACATCATTAATAATAATATAACCCACACACTCATAATCCCGCACCAGGTAAACCCTGTTTCGCGGGTGTCCTGGACACACAAAGACAATTGCACACAATATTCACGAGAGAAATAAATGTAGGTCATACAAATATGTCTCTCGGCCTGGGAATCGAACCCGGGACGTCTGCGTGGCAGACCAGCATGGTAACCGTTTGGGCACGGAGGCAGTTGTTAATTAATTTAAAAAATTAAATATAAATGTTGTACATAGCACAATTAAATAATTAAGAAACAACTGACCAATAACAAATTTTAGATTCATGTTTTAAAGTGTGCAGGAATGTGTTTCAAAACAGTAGAAGTGAGATGTAGTTTTAGTAGAGGCCCCTTGAAGACGAACCTCGCAGAGAAAAGTTTGTTAATGAATAAAGCTAAAAAACGTTATATTAGCTTAAAATTACTTACAGTAGTTGGTAGGCTCTCGAGGAAGTGATCATAGATAGCCAAACCGGCAATGGCGAGCAAGAGTCCCGTGTGGAAACCAGTCATGAATAGACCGACGTATTGTATCAGCATAGTTATTAGACCGAAGAGAAGGCCCGCGCACAACGCGACAGCTAGCATGGAACAAAATCTAGACTTCATAATCTCGCAATTTTTATCACATTTCTTAAAACTAGATACTAGGGGACTAGTATCTAGTTGTAAGAAATCTTACGAATATAATCTAGTCCCCAGAATAGTCACGCAATTTGAGACATATGACTTATTCGTGAATAATGTGAGCCATATAAACCCGATACTTTTCGAATAACGTGGCCGTGGCATACAGACCAATGGACATGAACAAATTACAAGGTTTCCTAAAAAGTGTACACTTGTACAGACGACAGCACATCAAACTACACATTGACGGATCTTATTCCGTCACTGTGTAGCTTGATGTACCGTTGACTGTACATAATTTAAAATTAATTTTTATAGAGACCACGTGTTATTTCGTCGAATGGTGAATAACAGGATAACTACACTTACCAACGTTGCCATAAGGTGGCATCAGATATTCTTGCAGGCATATTAAATATACAATAGCTGAGCCAAATGTAAAACCTGTCAAGAACATGCTAGCTTTGAAGCATCGATATCCTGCAACAAAAGATTTAAATTAGTCCAAAACCTAAAATAAAATACAATATCAGGGATTACATTTCTGTCAAAACAATTTTAAAACAAACTAAACGAATATTACTTTATTATTACAAAGAGAATTTGTATACATAAATTCATTAACCTACCAACAAATGGACATAGGGTCTAATACAATAACCACGAAAAAAATGTCCGAGGTTAACCTATACAAACGTAGTGACATGTAACGAAATATAAAAAACTAAAACATTTAATTTAAATTGTAACGTCATTGCAGTACTGCCTAAATTTGCTTACAACAATTTTAGGGCCCAAAAACACCATATTCAGCTTCTACTGGAAACTTAACAAAATGCACCATATTTAGCTTCAACTGAAAATTACTTGAACACAAGAGTAATGGAATAGCCTTTCCCGTAAATGTTAATTTATATATACATATATTATTATGTCGAATTTTGTACAAATTCACTTAAAGGTACAATAAAGAGTTAGGCAGATACATACAATACAAATATTACTACGAATGTGAAAATAAGCGTGTACTATAAGAAATGTACCGATATTCTAACTAAACATAAATTCAAATATCTGTAATTCCGATTTATATAAAAACCGTTACGCTTTCGAGTAATTTTGCTTTTTACATAGACATAATCTCGGTACAGAGTACTAAAAAAACCGACCTCAAAAGTACGTGGAATTACGTCTATTTGCTAAGTTTTATTAGAATATCCCCTAGTTCGCCACTATACAGGACTTGACACTGGAGATAATAAAAATCGGTTCTCACTACTCAAAGTATATCGGGAGAAAAACGCCTTGAATTGGAGAAATAGCAAAATCAACCATTACAGTAATTGCTCCTAAATTAAAGTTAGGCGCTATTTATAAAACTGAATCTTCATGCGTGAACAGCCACCCTTTCGATGTGGATGATTTTCTTCAATATGAAATGGGACCACTATGGAAGTACCCCCTTTCCAACAAAAAAGAATCATGAAAATCGGTTCACAAATACCGGAGTTATCGCGTAACATACATACAAAAAAAGAGAACATACAGTCGAATTGAGAACCTCCTCCTTTTTTGAAGTCGGTTAAAAATTAGCTTTTGTTTTGTAATCTTCGTAAAAACACATTATGAAAATTCGAGCTAATGTTATTTCGGGCAAATGTTTTTTTTGACTTCTGATAGATAATCCCATGCCGCTAAACGAGTACAATAATATTTTGTTAGTTACTGCTAAAGTTTAATTTAAAAAAATCATTTTAAAAATAGGATTAGAATCAAAGCAACTCTACAGTTTCTTTGTTCTCAATATTTCAATCGCTTGTGGTTCAAACAATTGAAAATGACCAAGAAGTTTATATAAACTTCTAAAGCTTCTTGAAACTGACGCAATAATAATAATAATAATCATTTATTTCGGAACTGGTCCATAATTGGGTCTCTTTCCATCTTTTGCGCATGCAATGAGTAGAAAAAGGGCAGTTTGCTATTTCATTATTCGTGTGCTTTTGTAATTTATATTTATGATTCAGTTATATATAAATTAAATACTATAAAACTATACAAAATAACACTTTTAAATTACAACTATGATAACACAATACATTTGTTTAGTGAAAATATGATACAAAATCCTGTTTTCACACTTTACTGCAGTAATTTTTACAAGTTATTATTATTGGTACAGCATGATTGACAACCGCGCTGTCATTTGAACAAACGAAGACTACTGCGCGATTGACGCTCTGTACGCGATTTTAACGCCCTACAGGTGCGGACACTTTTTAGCGCGAACACGACGTCCATTTATTGGCAGGTCAATGCATAAATTATTAATAGTATTTGAACAACCCTATTTTAACACAGTCCAAAAATCAAATAATATGTTTAATTTCCGATTGTCACTTTCATAATATTTCCATACTTTAAAGAAACTGAGGTTTGCCTAACCAAAATATAAAAATTGTTAATGATTTTTATATTAGGTATATCAAACAAACAAACTTAGTATTGATATTGACTTACCAAACAGTGTATAAACAATCCCAAACACAATATACATAGCACAGATTGTGCCAATGATGGGATCGTAATTAAGATCGATTGACGTGCAGTACGATCCCTCGATGTGAGGTCCGTTAAACTTGATTGTCATGTTGGGGGGGCTGCGCGTCACTTGCGGGACGAGTTGTCCTACTGATGACATCTTCCGTTTGTACACATTTGTACTTTATATTAATACCAATTTACTCTGAAACAAAGCAAATGCTCTGAAATTGGCTAATGGTTATGCTCAGCCCCACATCTTTCTACATAAGTTTTGCTTACTGTGACCCTCCCTATCAACTTCTTGGTTATGCAGGAAGGGCTGAAGTGTTTAACAGTAATAATTGTGCATAATAACAATGGTTATACACAATTGCATTGAACCCATTGACTGCCGAAGGTAGTCTCTGAACCGAAATCGGTGGCCACCATACAAACGGTCTTCTACGTAATAATGCGCAGTCGGCACAAAAAATTAAAATCCTGCTGACGATGACGATATACGTAATATTACGTGTACTCAATATTGCGTACTTCGGCACCACGTATAAAATTTGTTTTAAGAGGCCGACTTACGCATCATTGCGTATACGCAAAATAATGTATGGACGGCACCTCGAGTAACAAAAGTTAGTTGGCTACCTTGCTCTCTCCTAGATTCATCAATGACGTCCCACATGCTCCCCCTTTCGCCAAATATGCTACTATTTTTTGCCTATTGTCAGTGTTGCGTCACATGCGCAATGAGATTAGTGTAATTAGTATGATTTATCGCTATGCCGCGCGGACGGTAATCGAGTCGTCGTATTTTACAAAGTTGTCGTACTTCTACACCGTTACGACTACTAAATCGAAGTGAAGTCGTCAGGATTCTGTATGAAGAAGATTCGTCGGACAATGGGGGTTGGATGGGATGCTACCTGAAACTTCTCGTTTTCCTCATCGATCGCCAGCAGTTTGTGCTAGACATATGAAACCTAACCCACTGAGTACTCGTATCCCACTAGCAAATTTTCAGTACTTAGAAAAAACCAATCCCCACTTTGCATAATTTTTTTACTAAAAAACTTTGCAAAATTATTAGTGTTCATTGTTATAACAGTGAGCGTTTTTGTTGAAAATAATTGATAAACTGTAAAAGGTCTCATTACAAAAGTAGGTAAGTAATTGTCTCAAAGTGCCTTTGATTTATGTAACTTTTAAGTATTTACAAATAATAAACCTAGCACATTTTTATTTCGTGTTTTATTTCAGGTGCCTAAGTATACTAAATCGCACAATCCTGTAGGCCAAATGGCATAGATTTCTTTTATATTGTTAGGGAAGTAGTATGTATTATTGCATGGTTGGCCTCTGCTATGGATGCTAGCTACTGATGCGTAGCTGGCTGTCAATGGGTTAACAAAAATGTCATTAAACAAATTGATTAGATAGCAATTAAGACAAAGATCAGACCACATAGTGGATGAGACAAATAGAAAACACCTAGAGAGATGTTTTAATCATCTACTCCTTGCATATTAAAGTTAACCACCTTCATCTTGAACAGTAGATAGAAGATATTTTGATAAAGATATTATAATTAAATATGGGCTGTTTATAACTAAAACTGGATTGTTTGTTAACACAAAGGCACAGAATACATGGTACAAATAAACAAAGAGATGCATTGTGCCATTGCACCTAAACAAACCTCCTCAGACTAAATATTATGGCAATAACATGTCAAAAACTTTGTATAAATAATAAAAATTATAAACTTCAGCTGGGCCTGTCGCCAATTTACATATTGCCGAAATTTCTCAAAGACACAGAAAGAAACAGAAGTCTAGTTCTGGACTGGTTCCACTGGTCGAACTACGACTGCAAACGCAACCTGCACCATGCTTGGAGCTCTGTTCAAGATCTAATATATCCACTTTCACTGCGTGTCACCAACGCAAATTGTACAGCCGACGTCAAGTAAAATTGGAATAAAATCATGTGTAAAGAAATATCCACGTTACACAATTCAAGCATTGAAACAATGAGAAAATACTCACCATTCTGCGCCAGCGTCTCGATTTCACATTTTATCTGAACTAAAAATTATAAGTAACGAGAACTGAAATCTACACAAATGTTAATGAATACCCCACAAACTGTCAAGATTAGTTATTCAATTTAAAACTAAGGCAAAATTTACAAGGATCAAAATTATTGCATACTAAAAAAAAACAAAGGCTTTTCACAGACTGCCTGATTTTCTAGCCGTTCTGTTCGCTGCTTTTTTTGCGATATGATGAGTGTCATGAGTATGAGTGACGTACTCTGGCAGTTTATCGATAATCGGTACTATCGATATCCTAAAAAACTTGATCAGAAGTGTTTTCTTATTCCTTACGGGTTTAGCAATTAAAATACTTACCTGTATTGCTCAAAACTTCAAATTAGTTTTTTTTTGTTTTTGCATTTTACGTTCATACTACATCAACAGAACCAATCAACAGTAATGTTAAAAACCGGTTTTCACACATTTCAACACTTACCTATAGTTCCACCTCGTCAAACTCTCGAACTGAAAGCCAATGATATTCGTAATTTTGCTGTAGTACTTACGTGAACGATTCGTAAATTAATTGTGCGCTGCGCATCATTATACTTTTGTTATCGGTAAACAGAAGCAACTGTAAGCCAAAATACGTGTTGCGACACTAAAATGTTTTGGACAGTCATTCTTGATCTTTAAAATAACTTAAACCATCCTGCCTCCACACAAATAGTTCGTTGGATATCAGTAATCATACAAATTCCACAATGAAAGTTACAATAACCACTTTAAATGACGAACTTTTCGTCTTGCAAGTGTCTGAAGAGTTGGAGCTAGAGAACTTCAAAGCTTTTTGTGAGATTGAATCCGGTTTTCCTGCAAGTGAAATCATTCTGCACTTAAATGGGACACCGCTACTTGACGACAAAAAGTCACTGAAAGCCCTCGGAGTAAATGATGGAGACGTAATCGTATTGATCCATCTGGTCCCTTCGGGCTCCAATCTCCACGCTAATGATGCCAGCCAGGGTACGTACTTGTTTCTTTGGATACACTTGAGTGTTTTCCACAGCTTCTACACTGAAACTGCATTGTCATCACCACAGTGTCACCACATAGTGCTTTGTTGTCATTCATGATGACAAATGCAGGTTTTGCAAAAAGTATTAGGATGACATTGTCATAATATGTTAAAATCAATTTTATATGAAATGTCAAAGAAATTCATGCACATGTTTTAAAAATTATATTATTTTTATTTATAAATCTGTTAAAATTAAAAAATAATTGCCTGCCTTCCAGCATTACCAACTGGGTTAGATACTCTCGATTTTAGCAACATCCAAGTTCCTCCAGAGGCAAGCACATCACACATGGCGTCAAGAACCCCCCAGCCTGTGGAGGAAGATCCACGTATTATCAGGGAGATGTTCCTGGCCAATCCAGATCAACTTGCTCTTCTAAAACAAAACAACCCAAGACTAGCAGATGCCCTCTTGAGTGGCAATCTTGGTAAGCACATTGCTCATTACTCAATGCAAAGATTTTTGTTATGTTGTGTCTCTGTTGGCCCTCCAGTTGGTGGTATACTCAGAGCATACATTTTTCAGATACTTTTGCCTCTGTATTAAGGGAGCAAATAGCTGCTAGGACGGAGCGACAGCAACAAAGAATTAGGATGATGAACTCTGACCCTTTTGACACAGAGGCTCAGAGGATGATTGCTGAAGAGATCAGACAAAAGAATATAGAAGCCAATATGGAGGCAGCGATGGAGTACAATCCAGAGACATTTGGGACTGTTGTGATGTTGTATATCAATTGTCATGTCAATGGGTTAGTAAATTAGTTAATCCCACTGTTTAAATATTGGATTGTTCTACTGTGCTCAGAAAATTAAATACTTTCATAGATTTTCTTACATGGAAACTTGCTTCTTGTTTTAACAATAACATATCCAGAGCATGGCTGCCAGCAGCCAATTAGTTATGTAAAAAGAATCATAATTTCAGATTTCCTGTAAAGGCATTCATAGATTCAGGGGCCCAAACTACCATTATGTCTGCGGCCTGCGCTGAGAGGTGTAACATTATGCGATTGGTAGATACTAGGTATGTTAAAAACATTTTTCTTTTGACTACAAGACAAACATATATTGATTACAATAACATTAACACACATAGCCACCCCCGTATGTGTAACATGATAGTGCGCGACTTGCGCGAGAATGACATAAAGTGCGATATCTCTATCCGAGAATAGCAGTATCTCCAGCTTTATGTAGCTCTCGCGCAAGTCGCGCTCTATCGTGCTAGGCCTACAGTTGTGGTATTTGATAATATTTTATTTAGCAATAGCCATCTTGCTCAGACTATACCCACAAATCTCACTGTTCACCTATACCCACAAATTCATAGAGATAAATGTGTTTAGTGTCATAAAATTACTTTTCACAGAAGTACAGTCATAATTTCAATTCAGGTGGGCAGGTATAGCAAAAGGTGTTGGTGTTCAAAGAATCATTGGGCGTATCCACATGGTGCAGATGCGGATTGAAAAAGATTTCTTGACGACTTCTTTTTCTGTGTTGGAAGAACAACCTATGGACATGTTACTGGGACTCGATATGCTTAAAAGACATCAGGTATATTTTAAAAACTTCTTGCATTGTTTATTGAATCAGTACTATATAATATATACTGGAAAATTAAATAACCCTTTATCAGGCAAGATTTATTAACCACTTGAAGAGTCATTTAAAAAGGATGTATGTTTTTTAGTGCAACATAGATTTGAAAAGAAATGTACTACGCATTGGAACTACAGGAACAGAAACCCCATTCTTGCCAGAATCAGAACTCCCAGAGTGTGCACGACTTTCTGGTTATTCAGAAGATGAAATTGTCAACCAGTCAGCGCGAGAACATGAAGAAAAACAGATGAAAGAGGCACTGGAAAAATCAAAGCAAGGTGGGCGAAGCAAAAAGAAGTAAAATGTGATTGGAATATGTGGTCACAAAATATACAAACAACAACAAATTATTGTGATTGTGAACATGTACATGTTTTTTTTTTGAGCTTGAAGGGATGAACAAGTTAAAGCAATAAAAAATCGTAAACATTCAATCTTCTTTTGTTTAGTAGATAGATATACATACAGTTTACTCATTTACCAATTAATTGCTGCTATCCATTGAAGGCCATAATTACTTTTAATGGTAAACATTTAACAACTGATTTGTTAATGTGCTTGAATGTTGCTTAACTGCTTACAAGATAACGAAGTAAACAAGGGGTATGTTAATTTTTTCCATTGTTTCACGCACTGTTTCACATTTGCACTTACATCTGTGTTTTAGTAAGTTAGGGATTTACATTGACAATATTTTTGTTAGATATGAAGTTCTTGTTGTTATCGTTTAATTTTTAGTCTTTACAAGGTTCTACTAAGCTGCACTGCAAATCATAATTCAAAAATAATTCATTTTATAACAATGTAGACAAGATAAATTATGAATTTTATATACCTACTTATAACTTATAAATCACTTGTTTTTAATCATTGAGGCTCATTAATATAACTGCATTTATTTGTTCAGAAGCTGCTAATATGGTGGCCTCAAGATCTGGCTCAACGTCTGGTATCCAGGGGATCTCAACTTCTACTCAAAGAGTTGGTAAGCATTATTCAAGATTTTTGTAATTGTCCTTATTTTTGGATAGTACAATTATGTTTTGATTTAACATGTCTTTCCAGTAAACTATATTTCAGGTCATGCTAATCCAGATAACGACGATTTTTGCGTATATTAATTAAAATAGCTTTTCATTTGTTGTGTACACACATTAGCCGAAGTGTTATTGCACTCAACCGTTATAAACATGTAACGAGAAGGTAGATGCGTTGCAGATGTTCTAAAAATAAAAATTTCAAAAAGTACGGAACTGCAGGTATAATTTCCTAATTCTTATTTGTTATGTGCGTACCGCAAAGAGTGTTATGTATTTTTTGGCTTCTCTCGCAAAAACGCATTTTTACATTTATTATACTCAATACACAATACATTATAGCTTTTTCATAAAGTCAACAAGGCGTTACAAAATATAATACAGAGAGCATTTATGGACCCTGTCAAGCACAGGAAGTGAGCGGGAGGCATGTTTATTAATTGAAAAATTATTATTGAAGTTATTATTTAAGATATTTTTTTAATACGGCGAGTATATTGTTATTTAAATTTTAGATATTATTCAGTTTGAGTGTAACAATATGGTCCAATGTGTAACTTCAGACAGTTGCAGAAACATCTCCTTCATATTCTGTTTCTAGCAACATCAAAAATATAAAAGGAAGTTCTTCCTAGAACCTGCTACACATGCACCACATCAAACCTATAAATAATGTTTTGTGAATAATAAGGTTATATTAATATCAACTGTTTACTTTTACTTGTCGATTGTTATTGCTCGTCCAGGACTTGGCGATCCCAGTCAGACTATTCTGCCAACAGACGCGTTCGGAGAATCGGAGGTCGAAGAAATCGTCGCGCTGGGCTTCACTAGAGAGCAGGTAAGGTATTGGCAATCGAAAGGGAAGATCGTGCAATAAAAAAATGTTTGACAAAGAAGAATTCCTTCCGAAGGTCGGAGAACGATCGACGAATGATATTCGATCTTCAAATTGGCTTTCAATTGGCACGGGTAGGGTAGGACGGTGAACACCTGTTAATAAAATCTTGACAGTATTTACCTTTGAATTGTTTCAGGCCATTGTAGAGCTTAGACGTTTCAACGGCGACAAAACTCAAGCGACTGTGGCCCTTTTTGCCAAGTCGCTCAAGTTCTGATGTAACGCCCTCGGGCATGACGCGCTGCTATTTAATTATTGTCAGGTAATTGTTTGCTAGCACTATTTTGCTCTGACTTATTATTACGAGTATTTTTTATCGTTGAATATGACCACTAGACAATTCGTTGCCGATTTTAGTGAATTTTAAACAAACTTGTTAATATTGACATAATCTTCAAATAAACATCGAAATCCTAATCGATTGGAGGATTTGTGTTTCGATGTGGACATCATGAAAATATAATGAAATAGTTAACGATTTTACACAATCTTATGCTGTAAAAGCAATACAGTGTTAGAAAAGGTAGTTTGAAATTTCCTGGGGTCACTTTACTCATAATACTGAACATATTTATAAGATGGGTTCTCTTGAATTGAAATTTCAAACCTACTATTTCGATATTCTGTATAATTATTATGGAATCAAGCGGCGTTAAAGTACTATTAGACTGTTGCTTCTGCCTATGTTACATAGGATTTGTATTTTAAATAGGTATATGGAAACTTTAATGTTTAAGAATGTTATCCTCTCGTATAACAGGAAATCCGCTTGAGAGGATAAATCGGATAGTTGTACTAAAATAGGTAGATTTATATTTTTTTATCTTAATTAGTTCTTGGGTAGTTGTCACACCCAGTCAAAAATCTGAAGAAAAAAAATACTAAATACATTCATGAGTGTGTTAAAAGCAAGATTTTTATTGAGTTGTTTGGTACAGACTGCAATTAATATACATATATGTACCTACTAATGTTGACACATATGCGTATAATATTATATAAACTTGTATTCCAAATTACTGGTTTTCAAAGTTATAAATAATATTGCAAAAGTTGTAGGAAAATGAGGTTAATATACGATGTGCAACTTTACTTTCAAAAGCAATACTTAATTAATGGTTACATACGTGTGGACGTTTCCATATTAGATTATATGAAACGATACGATAACAATAATTAAATACAAAGGAATATAAATATTTTGGTAGTGAAGTATAAACAAGATTATAATTTGATTACAATTATTTACTTGCTATTAAGAAAGTTAAACCATTATTATAAAACTTATTAAAATTAGTCATTTATTTACACCGTACTACCGTTTATGCTCATTTCCATGACATCGTTATATTTTTTTGACGTGTCGTCTATTTTGAAAATGCTCTATATACGAAGAAGTTAGTCAAAAAGTAATGCCTCCATCACTCGTAAACTATCATAGAGGTAACCTTAATCTATTTACATATTCTTGTCATTTGCAGATTGACTGATTAGATCAATGGATTTGTAGCTAAAACAAAGATACGTCATTGAGTTTCTGGCAAAAGAAAATTTTGCCAGATTTCCGTTTCTCCGTTTCCAAATTTTTTAACCCGGAGCCACACATTGCTGACGTCTATTACAGCATTCTCATAAACGTTCTCCAAGCGAATATGGATTTGCTTAAATGCACAAGCTTCTTTTGCCAGAAAGTCAATGACAGCTCTTTGTTAACCGACTTCAAAAAAGAAGGAGGTTCTCAATTCGTCTGTACGTTCTTTTTTTTTTGTATGTATGTTACGCGACAACTCCGGTATTTGTGAACCAATTTTCATGATTCTTTTTTTGTTGGAAAGGGGGTATTTCCATAGTGGTCCCATTTCATTTTGAAGAAAATCATCCACCTCAAAGGGTGGCTATTCACGCATGAAGATTCATTTTTATAAATAGCGCCTAGCTTTAATTTAGGAGCAATTACTTTTAGCAATTATTTAGTTGATTTTGCTATTTCTCCAATTCAAGGCGTTTTTCTCTCGATATACTTTGAGTAGTGTCGTAGTGAAAACCTATTTTTATTATCTCCAGTATCAAGTCCTGTATACTGGCGAACTAGGGGATATTTCAATGAAACTTAGCAAATAGACGTAATTCCACGTACTTTTGAGGTCGGTTTTTTTAGTAATCTGTACTGAGATTATTTTAGCTTCAAATCCTTTTATCTAATAAGTCAGGCCGAAAATGACAAGAGTATTAGAGTTAAGTTACCTCTATAATACCATGCATAGATGTTTTGTTTCTTTGTAAGAAATAAAAGTTTGAGCGATGGAGACGTTACTTTTTGACTGCTCATCATATGTATGTACACTTTGAGGTCTTAGTATAATAAGTAGTGAGATATTTTTGCAAGGACATCAAAGAGATTAATTACTCTAACTCTAAATTTACCAAAATTGTCAATGCGAAAACCTTTCACTAAATAAGTGCAGCACAGATGGTTATGTTTTAGTATATTTTGTATTCTATTATAACAATATTTTTATGACACTATGTAGTTTGTTCTATAATAAAACGTTTTTTGCAAATATGGATGTATGAATAATATTTCCCTTAACGTGATTTTACCGTTTATACCTATTTATTGTTAAATGTCCACTCTAATTTGTTATTAACACTCGCATAAGCAAAGCATCAGCAGATTTAGTAGCAGTAGAGCTCCTTGTGAAAGAGTTCGTCCAGGGTAGTAGTACCCTGGTCGAACGGCCAACTTACCTATTTCTGCCGCCAAGAAGTAAGTAACGTCAGCGTTACTGTGTTCCGGTTTTGAAGGGTATGGGTACTGGTGAAATTACAGGCAGACTTCTTCAACTTATGTCTCTGGGTGACGGAAGCAGTGGCAGTGCCCCTCAGATCTTTACAATTTAAAGCACTGAGGGGCACTGTAACTGTTACGTACAGGCGTGTAGCTTACCATCAGGCGCACGACTTGTTCGTCCCGTCACTTAATATTATAAAAAAAGAAAAAAGATTTAAAGAAATAAAAATGAGAGATTTCAAATGAGAAGTGGCACAAATTCTCATTTAATTTCTTAACCTTTTATGAAATGAAACTAACTTCGGTCAAATTTTTATATTTACTTGTATAGGAATTAATCGTTACAAAGGTATAACAAATATTACATTTATTAATAATGGTCATCATTAATTAAGGCTTTTTTATTAGTGGTGAATTCAGTCATGTTATTTTGTGTCGTATGCCGGTTACCTAACGTATGTACGTTCAAAACAATACCATCATCACTATACGAAAATCTTGCTTTTTCAAACTTGCTTTCATAAACTTTAACGTAAATTTGACTTTTTCGTTTAGTGGCAGTATTGATATCAATGTGCAATCGCACTTCAAGTTGTGCGTTTTGAAAACAATTTTATGAGTGAAGACAACAGCCGTTGAATGTGTATGAACAGAGTTCATAAGAGAGAAATGGTACACATCAAGATTAATTAGTAGATAATTATTAGTAGAGAGAAGAACAAATGCGTCATTGTAAATAAGTCTTACCTAATTCGTGAAGCGACTATACACGTCTATTTGGAAGAACACACACAATTGTTTAGTATATAAACTATCCGACTTAGTACGGCTAGAGATCAAATGATATGCTACTAGTTTCTGGTAATGTTTTGTAAGTTTAGCTTCTCACGGGCTCATCCGATTCTGGAAGTTGACTGGCCAATTTGTTTGCCATGCTTGTTAAAATATCTGTCAGCCGAACGAATCTCTGATTCGCAGTAGTTAGTGCGCCTCGTTCCCCCCATAAGAAGTTTATATGGAACTCTGTTTTAAATAGTTCAAGTAATTTTGGATCCAATATAGGGCCCAAAGATGACATCTCCTGAACAACTGTTCTAGCGTTGCGTTTGAACATGTCCACTTGTTCCGGAAAATGCCGAGCGGCCTCCAGGTGTGCGGCTGTGGCATTGAAGTCGAAATCTAGAGTGTTTACAACACTCCCAGGAAATGTTTCGTCTGGCTGCATCAGTTCACCTCCTTCACCGTCTAAAATAATAAACTCTGTCACAATCATATATGTTTTTATTGCTTAGTACAATTGTTATACGTGAGGCGCACTATAAGTTTCCGGAATGAGTAAGAAAAAAATTGTATAATAAATGGTCAGAAATGAATTTATTGTTTCTCAAAATATTGATAATGAACCAATTTTGTAAACATTTATGCCACTCGTCCTCCTCTTCGACAGCCTCTTCAGGTGATAAAATCGATGACCGCGTAATTGGTTCTTAATTTTTGGAAATAAATAAAAGTCACAAGGTGCCAGATCGGGACTGTACGCGGGATGGCTCATAAGGTCAACGTAGTTTACCTTCAAAAATTCATTTGTCGGCACGTCTGGCCGTGTGAGAACTGGCATTATCGTGGTGCAAGATGATACGGCGTTTACGGTTATTTTTACGGAGTTTGTCAATAACTTCCGGTAAACAAATGGTTGTGTACCAATCACTATTCACGGTACAACGATTATCCAAAGCAAGAGTAGCCAAGTGTCCAATTTTTAAAAAAAGAAGAAGCAATCATTCGCTTAACGGCACTTTGCACGCGCGCCACTTTGGTTGGTTTCGGCTTATCTCGAAACACTCATACCGTCGATTGCTGGTTTGTTTTGGGATCGTAACTATAAATCCATGTTTCGTCACCTGTTATTATGTCCCACACCAAATTTGACGCCCCTTCGTTGAGTCTGGTAAGCAAGGCGTTACACGAAGTGACGCGATCCGATTTTTGAGCCTCAGTCAAATTGTGTGAGATCCACCGAGAGCACAGCTTTTTCACACCCAAATGTTTGTGTAGTATTGATTGTATTTGACTCATACTCGTACCTATGCCTAAAGATGCCCGAATCTCATGATGTCACATGCCTGTCTGTTTTGATCATACGGCGCACAGCATCGATGTTTTTGTTGTTCACAGCAGTGGACGGGCGTCACGAAATTTGTCACTGAGATTCACACGACCGCGTTTGATTTCTGCAAACCAGCTATAAATAGTCCTTTGCAAGGTGCTTCATCGCCAAAAGCAGTTTGAAGCCGAGTGAAGCTCCGCTGAGCTGTTAAATTACACTAAGTCTTAGAAAATCATACTACGAAAATTTTCACGACTTAAATCCATGCTGATGTAGACAACCTATTTCTAAAATGACGCCACAATGCAAAAACTAGTGACAGTCAAAAGAAACAACAAACTGTATTCTACAGCCAATGAGTTCCATTTTCAAATATTGTAATTACTTTTTAAATATTGTTTATATAAGTTCATTCAGTTCCGGAAACTTATAGTGCGCCCTATATATACCTTATACCTTGATATTATACATACCAAATAAATGGAAACACAACACGGATGGCAAAATATACGGTGTGGTTGTGTTTGGTGGGAGTGGGTTGGTACCTTCATTCATGCTTTTGAAACATGGCCTTAACTTAGCTTCGAACATAAACGCATTGTCAGTATATACTCGTCTTAAAATGTTCCATGTATTTTCTAGACACTCCACCTGCAATTAATAAAAAATGGATTCTGAAATCTCTGGAATTTCTAATTTATATTTTATCTATTCAATAATTTTAAATCTAACCTGTGGCATACATAAACCAAACATTATAGCTGAGAATCCGTATAAGTTTCCTAGGGCAGTTTTGGTCTCTACTGCTAAAAGGATCCAGTCATTAATTGTATCTGCTCGCTGCCTGTCCGTCTGACAGGTCAAAATCGTCACAGCTATCAGCAAGCGAAATGTTTCGATCCTGTAACGTAGTTTGTTGATTAATTAATCTGTAACTATAAATTGTAAGTACAAGTCATCGATCCAAGCAATATCATACCTTTCAATAACATCGAGTCTCAAGACTCTTCCTTGAGGCAGAAACAAAAGCTCCAAACCAGATGCCATCTTATCTACACCTTCAATCTGAACGGCATCTTCAAGTAAAAACTGCAAATCCATTTTAGTCATGTGATTAGCTAAAATGCGAGGACCAGAAGTGCGCAAGAGAAGCTTTATGGTATGCAGAGTTTCAGATTCTAAGGGCTTTGTCATCCCTGAAGAAATAATTTGCGATCGAAAATTTTCAAGTTTAATCCTGGATTCAACTGTGTAGTCCAAATTTTCAGATTGTAATAATCTTGCTTCCGTGAGATCATAATCGAATTGCTGTTTTATAGTGGATGTGACTAAATTGAAATCAGAATCCATTCTCAACTTGTTGGGATCGCTGTGGGCCGAACTTTGTGTAGAGTCCCCTGAACCGTTGCCGGAATCGGACCCTGATACATGATACAGCCTTTGCAGTTCCAAGCGTTTATCATCTGCCTTCGGACCATCGAATCTAGCTGGCTTGGCTGGGGGACTAGTTGGCAAGTTGGCGTCCCAAGTGCTAGAATTAGATTCACTAGTGAAATTTTTACCATGTTTACTATTACCTTTGCCTTGGATAATTCCGTCTGCACTCGCACTTTTGCCGTGATTGGCATGCTGCCCTATATCAATTGGCGTGAGAGAGTGAGACCGTTGTTTTTTAAACGGCATACGTATCTGATGTCCTGGTTTAGTTGCAAAATGACTATAAAGACTGTACGGGTTGCCGTATGTCGATCCTTCTCCCACAGGGGACGCCATAGTATTCGGATCCTCAGTTGGTACACAATTGGTAAGAGGAACGACACGATTAGCCGGGTATTGGATTCTCGCGCCTGATGCCGCAGATATTGGTTTTCCAGAGCCAACGTATGATGTGATAAGATCAGCTACTGTGTCGTACGCCTCGTCTTCAAACTGATACTGGTACCTCTCATAAACTGTGTCAGGATGCACTACGATCTAAAATCATATTGTATAAAAGGCTAGACATAACTACCAGGACCTGATATTAATTACTCCTAGGTATCTTATGAAGTCACTTACTCGTTGAATAACGAAGTGTAGATGCTGCCCATTTGAGCGACAACTGAGCACGTAGTTATCCGGCTGCGACGAAGAGTCTCTCACCAGAAACTCTCGATCTTGTTGAAGCAAGTTCTCTGCTGCCGTGCGGCTTACTACGCCGTGGTACCATCCGTGTGATACTATTTGATCAGAAGGCAAAGAAAATTCCCACTCTAGTAGACCCGAAGTAGACATAGCATTTGCATCCTGAAACGTTGAAGTAAACATTGTAGGTGGCATTCAACAACACAAATATTTTATTGAAAGACAAAAGAAAAATACATACCATGATTAAATAAATTCGGTTACTTCTGAATGTAACAAGCTTTAGTAAACATCGGTATCTTTAATGTGAAGACGGTACACTACTGGATATATCTAATATTCATTCGAAGCCGGCTCGCTCCAGTGCAATGGGGTTGGCGGTGAGGGTTGAGGTTGGATCAATAATGCCCCGATGGCCGACACTGCCGCCCCATTTTTTGATGTGTTGGTAGTAACGAAACCAACGTTCTGTTCACTAATGCGCATGCGTGAAATGTATACACACTTGTTTGAGTTACGTCATTTTTAGACGAGTTATAAGTTGAGCTTTTCATATTACTGCCGTCCACTAACTACTAAGTGACAAATTGAATAATATCCGTTTTAAATAGAAATAGATACAGCACAAAATTCTCTTTTAAAAACAGTCAAAATTAGTTAACGTGTTCGTCTTATTGGAACTTACCCCAACAATGCGTAGCTAAAGTATCATTAAACAATTTCAATAGTGTAAACCTGGGTTGTGGTTTTTTTTGATATCTCAAAAAATATTTTGTCATTTTGCCGCGTTTTAGTTAGCGGAAGGCAGATTATTTGTTCTTACATAATTAGTAGGTATTAGTTTCAATGTTGCATAATATTGATGATAACAAAAAGGTGTACCTACAACTGAACTTCAGCGCTCGTCGTACGTCTGAGGAACAACTTTCACACACACAAAATAATTTGATAAACCTGAATAAATAATTTCCGCCACCGGGAACAGAAATTATAAAATGGGGGTCGGTTGGCCTGTTTATATCTTGTTAATATTGTTTATAGTCAAGAGTGCGATTAATAGCCCATTTACATCGGGTCATCTTCGCCTGTTTGGGCGACGCAGTCGACTCGTCATTTACATAGAGTCGTCTGCCGCTCTCGGCAGACTACTTCGCCTTACCGAACGTGACGCACCCAGTAGTGTCGGTAGACTTCGGCTGCAAACTAACGTTGTCGTCAGATGACTCGCTATTTACACCTGACGACTTCGTGTAAATGGGCCGTAACATAGTCGTACCTTTTGGCTACAACCCAGTCGCAGATTTGCCCTAAAGCCCAGTCGGCCCGGGCCTAACGCGGTCAGTCGTGACAAAAAATTCACTGATGAAAACAAGAAATAACTCAGAATAGGTACACATTCTAAAGTCTCATGCACATTATGGCGGACCGCAATGCAACGCATCGTATAACAATAATCTTCCTAAATCACTTTATAGACATTACGTTAATATGTATAATGTAATATATAATCACTACATTACTGTATATTATCACTACCGCACCTGTCTGTCTGATCGCGATAAACTCAAAAACTACTGAACGGATTTTCATGCGGTTTCCACCAATAGACAATGTGCAGCTATTATAGTTAACTAAATTTCTGATTCGATTTCGATAAAAGTTGGCAATAAAGTAAATTCATTATGTAGCCTATTCATTGTGTATGATGACTGCTGGAAAGGGGGCGGCATACTGACTACATATGGCTCGGGGCCTACGGCGGCCAAGAGTGCAAATCCGCCACTGCTATAACCTGTAGAATAAGCATTGAACAAACGTAGCCAACTTAAAAAGTCGTTGAATGTTGGGAAATTGCTTAAGTAAAAGTAAAACAAAATAAGCAGGTGTGGCAGGAGCAATATGAAGGCGCGACTAATGCCGGCAATTTACGGTATTTTAAGAGCGACGTAAATCAACAGGAGCTCCTTATAACATTTTTGGCCTGTTGAACATTAACTGTTTGAAGATGTACAGGGTCAATAGCACGTCAAGCTATATAATATAGTATAATTGTAAAGTTATGACTGAAATCCAACACTATATCGCTTGCGATAAGAATGATCCAAAGTACAAAGTGTCAAGCTTGATGTGCTCTTGGCTGTACATTCAATAGTGGTGTAACGGTAATTTTTATTCCAGAGCAGGTAATATTAAAATGATGTTAGTACAAATCACATTCAATTTACATGACTTTTAAAATTTTTATTATTGAAAAGAACCATTATTTTGTGAAAAAGATTTTGATCACAGTGAGAATAATTAAACAAATCGAATTATAATATTGGAGATTTAACATAATAAAGCAAAATCTTTGACACTTTGGTAATTTGGAATCTGTCTTAGAACTATGAATTCCTTAAAATTCCATAAAAGAATAATAATCAACAATGACAAGAATTACCTTAAGTACTATATATTGGGGAGAGCAGGGTAATTGGAGCCTACTAAGGAAAAATGTTGATAAAAATCACATTTGTTTATTTAAAAAAATAATTAAAACAAGAACTTGAACCTCGGTTATTTGACTATCGTTTTGTCACATTTTAAATGAACTACAGCCCTAAAGAAAGATAAAATAAGAATTTTACAAAAAAAACAGTCGCTCCCATTACCCGATAAATTGGGCGATTGAAGCGATTGGCTGGCGATTGGTTGGTGAAGAAGACAGCAGCAGCCATTGACCTACCAACAAGTGGCAGCAGCAATGTGGACATATTTGAGGGGATTGGAAAACACAAAAGAAATAAGGTCTTGCAAGTGTATAATCTACCTTATACGAGTATCTACTATTATTGATAAATATCAAATGTAAAAATATTAAATCCAACACTTGTTGAAAAAAGACACAGAAGTCCAGCTCCGTTTCCTAATGAAAACTTAGTGAGCTCTTCAGCAAAGGCATACGTTTTATATCATTAAAAAAGTAGCCCTAGTTTTGTCATTGGATATGTCCTTCCTATAAAATGATTACCTACGTAGCCCACTCCGATTTCATACAACAATGTAGACAGTTCACCGCTTTCAAATTCAACACTGGGAACGATCGAATGACAAGTGTATGACATCAGGAAAAACAAGGCTTTGTTGCAAATACAGTTTTTAAACATATCACTACGCCAGCAGAGGCATAAAGCATTCAACGTTTTGATCTAGCCATGATCATATGGGAGGAGAGACGTGTTCTATTAATACTAATAATAGTGATTACCAAAGTGTCCGGCTATGAGAAAAGTAAGAGACTGACTTCATTTAGTTGACAAATTGAAATTGAAATAATTAACTTAATTTGTTATACAATTTTTCAGCGTTACGAAAAATTGTTCGCAACCAAAAATCAAAAATGGTTCAAACCCCCTTTAGTGATACAGGAGAAGGAGGTAAACGGAAAAACTCAACGATGCAAACAAATGAAGATTTGATGTTTTCTGGACTCAAAACTGTTATACACAAGATACAACGAGCCAAAGTATCCACAATTTTATCATCATTGGAAAACGGTCGTGGAAAGTCGGCGTATACAAAATTTAACAGTAGAAGAAAAGATAATATGTTTACTAAAGAACCGAGACACGCCAGGAACACTTTTATCTTAAACGGGACTTCACACATCCGTAGCTTTCCAGACCATACCTTTGAAAATGAGATAAAGAATCTAACAGACTTTTCCGTCAACATGTATTACGAAATTCCCAGTCAATCAAAATTCTTTCCACCCGTCGAAGAGCACAATAGTGAGCAAAAATCCAATAGAGAAAATACCATAATTATCCCTGAAATTAAAGAACAAATGCCTAACCAGAGCAGCTCGCTATTACAAGGAATTTACATCGCAAACCCCGAAACCAAACTTATATCTCCGATGAAGTCGGGATCCCTGGAAGTTAGCGCTGATATGGACAGTGACAGAATAGATTATTTGATAGAAGCGAGGTCTATGGACGATAACATCAATTCATACCACTACAACGCTACTTTGGATATGTTTACTTGTATGTCCATTAAAAAATCCGTTGCGGATTTAGACGCACAGGAAAAGTTTTCAGAATTCGATATAGAGGTAATAATATTTCCCTTTTTTAACACGAACTTTTGTCCATTGTGTAATATTGTATTATTATCTGGACGGAATTCCGCAAAGAATAAGTTAATATTCCACAGAAAGTTTCGAAATGACAATGTCATATTCTTTTTAATTAATTATAATAAAAAGTCATAAAACACAATAAATACATAGTTGCCACATAATTAAATTCTTCTCTTAGGCGAATTTAGTAAAAAAAATCACAGATTGAATTACGAATGCAAATTGCAAAATTGTTTCAGTAAACTTGAAAGTTATTTGCAAATTATTTTAATCACTATCTAACATGGATTTTCGGTAAACTAACGCTTGAATTTTTATATTTCTGTCAAAATTTTGGTACCCGTTAGGTAATAATGATACGTAGGCAAATATAGTAATAATAATAATAACTCGGAATTAGTAATACTCACATACTGTTGTCCGACAATCAGTCATACCACCAATTGTCTTCCGGGTGCATATTTGTATACAGTTTATCATACACTACATCAAGTAGGTTCTGTGTAGGTCGTGTCCCGGGCTGTAAAAGCTTCCGCCACCCCACTTTTGTTTGCATTTCGGTAACGAAATCCATAAAACGCTTGAGACATTGTATTCCTATTTTATAAGGATTTGAAATAAAATGTCTTTAGCCCAAAGTGTTTCAAGGATATTCGATTCGGAACCATAATGTATTATTGTTATTATAATAAGCTTATATTTAGCATAATCGCGTGCTTGCTCTAACTTATTGGTTCGTCATCCTCTCAACTCACTTTTGGAACACTGCCACTGCGCGTTTTTTAATTTATTATACTTTCTGACAAAAGCGTGTTTCCACTGAGTACAGACGTATTAAAATTTAAAAAGAAGAAAAACAACTAAGCCGCACAGCTCTCCAAAATTATAAATAGATAACTATCAGGACCGCTTGCTATATTCACGTCAAGAATGCTTAATGTTTTTGAGTACCACTTTTTAATGAATCTGAGTGTTCGTCATTAATGAAGAGGAACCTTGAGTGGAGTTTTTCCAGCAATATTTTATATGATATATATATATGTATATGTATATGTGTGTATATTTATGCTTAACAGCCGCCATGGATAGCGAAAAAGCGTTATTGGAATTCTATATTCGACAGTCGATATGAGGCTCTAATGCGAAGTCTAGAGTGGCCACCATTGAAAGTGAGTGTACCGTTACCTCTGTTGCTAGTTTTTTGTGAATGCTTATTTACGTGGGCTGTCTTAACGTTATCCAATTAGTAAAGCTATTTAATTTTTAAGGTTATTTTGATACCTCGGAGTCAAGTCGACAGTATATGGAAAAAAACGTTTGAGCATTGTCACAACGATAGCGTTCACAAGATAATATCGAATGTGGTAAAAAAATTGTATTTCTACAGTAATCTCACTTTTACCTGGAACGAGGTATCTCATTTGAGCCACTGGTGGAAAACTGCGAATTCGAAGAATCGTTTGGTAAATTATTTTCCGTATATTGAATGCTGAAGTTTTAAGAATAAGTGAGTACATTACGCAAAATTATATAATAACATGCGTTTCAGGCATTGCGACGATTGGTAAAATCTGGACGACTTGAAATCACAACAGGAGGATGGGTACAACCAGACGAGGCTACTGCTGATTTATTTGGAATGGTTCACCAGCTCATCGAAGGTAGGTTTTACTATAACTGTTTACTTAACGAAAAGATTACTAATACATTCCATTATACAAAGTTTTTCTAGCTTTAATTAAAATAACGGTTATTCTGCTTAGGTCGTCAGTGGTTAAAAAATCATCTCAACCACGCACCGACGGTTGCTTGGGTGACTAACTCCGTAGCACATAGTCCTACAATGGCCTACCTGTTGTCCGCTAGTGGAGTAACAAAACTTGTTCTGACGAATCTTCATTACTCCTGGGAGCAATATTTGGCGGAATATCAGCAGAGCGACTTCATATGGTTACAAAGTTGGGACGGTGACAGAGAAGCAGCCACGGGTCTTAACAACGCCTTAAACAGACTTGGAAAAGATCGGTTTCCGAAACATTCTGTTCTTACACATTACTTACAGTTTAATTCTGATGGATTTAAAGCATGTGGTCCAGATAAAGCGTTATGCGTCAATCAATTCAACTTTAAATCCAGTAAAAACTTAGACATCTTTACTCACGACATCAAAGAGAAATCTGAGCTTCTTCTCGAACAATATTCTAAAACTGGAACTATAACGTCACACAACGTTTTAATTGCTCCAATAGGCAATGCTTACCATTATGAGTATCAACCGGATTTCGATTACCAATACAACAACTACCTAAAATTAGCAGAATTTATTAATTCCAACAGTGATGTCTACAAAGCTACTATTGAGTTTGGTACTCCTAAAGATTATTTCAATGCTGTTCTTGAAAGGATTTCGAAATTTCCGACTATTCGTGGTGATTTTGTAAACTTCGCCGACATTAACAATGGAAGTCCCGCGTATTGGACCGGCTATTTTACCACAAGACCTTTATTCAAAATTCTGTTACGACGTCTTCTATCAACTTTACGAACTACAGAGATTCTTTTTTCATTTGCTGCTAGTTTCAATACTTTTCAGAAACATGACGTCACTAATTTATTTAAGCTTCTTATGGAAGCCAGAGAAATAACAGCCCGTTTACAAGATCGTCACGTCGTGGGCGGCACGTTGAGCGTCAACGGTCTGAAGTACGCTCATCAACTAATTTTAACGACTGTAAAAAATTGCTGGTACATACAAGAGGTAGCAGCTAGCTTAATAAGCATTAAACCAGAGAAACTTAACCAAGCACCTTACCTATTGAAATTTGTTTACCGTGACGGGGAATTCATGTCAGCGTTTAGAACCGTGGGCCCCGGCGATCAGGTTTATATATTTAATTCCCTAAGTCATGAAAGGGCAGAAGTATTGGAACTAATAGTAAGAAATCCGAATATCAGAATTATAGACCACAATAAAAAAGATGTAACATTTCAGATAAACCCTGTATGGAAGTATATGTCTGATAATTTTATCAGAATTTCTAAACGATATTTCAAAATTGTTTTTGCTATAATTATTCCACCCATGACCCTAGAATTGTATAAAATCAAGGAAACATATGATGCATCTCTAAACGCAGCCACAATTTATTGTTTAGCTTGCGGCGTAGATGATTCGATGAGCTCTAATGGGACTATATTCCCTTTTAATATTCAGCCTATACAGCCGGGAGACATTCAGTTGGAGAGTTATAAACTTCGCTTGATTTTTGATGAGCTTACTGGACTATTGAAACATGTCGTGGAGAAATTTACTAACATACAAAAGAGAGTCGTTTTGGATTACGGCGCGTTTAAAAGCTCCGATAAAAACGCTGGAATGTTCCTGTTCAATACAAACGTAACTAAACCACTTCGAGACGTTCTGCTTTCATTTAGAATTGGTACCATGACCAAAATAGTTATAATCATTTCCGGACAAGTGACTACGGAACTAACTTCAATATTCGGAAAGCTTTTGCAGACTACCGTGAAAATATATAACCTTTTGAACAGTCCTTTATCAAATGCAATTTATGTCGAAAGCAAAATAGATTTTGACATCTCACCCAAAAATAGAGAGTTGGAAATGTTTCTGTCAATTCAAACTGACATAGCAAACGGCAGTCCTCCAGAAATATATACTGATAATAATGGGTTCCAATACACTAGAAGAATTTTAAACATAAGCAGACGCATTGAGTCAAATATGTATCCAATGACGACAATGGCCTATATACAAGATTATGCCAGAAGAATGACTATTATAACAGATCACGCCCAAGGGGTTACAGCGCTTCAAGAAGGTCAAATAGTTGTGATGCTGGATAGGCGAGTCCTGTTTAATGACGGCAGGGGCACCAACGAAGGATTGGCCGATAGCAGCGCAACATGTCACAGACATTTTCTTTTGCTTGAGAATTTTGCAGAGGAAGCAGTAAGCCATCATACATATTCCAACAATTTGCAGTTGCCAAGCCTAGTAGCTATTCACTTGGCCAATTCCATGAATTATATAATAGATATATTCATTATTGACAAAAATCAGTCCGATTTTTGTCATTACGCATTTTTGCCTCTGATCAAAACTTCGTTCCCTTGCGACGTATCGTTACTTAATTTTAGATTAATGTTTAACAAAGGTTCCTTTATACGTCAATATCCTGCTACTGCGTTGATGGTACTTTATAGGCAAAGTATTTCGTGCCAAATTGATCTCGATGTTCAAATTCACTGCAGTGGAGAAAATTATTTTTACTTAGAAAGAATTTTGCATAAAGTAAAGGCCGTATACCAAACTAATTTAGTTGGTACAGAAAAAGGAGTTCCTATAAGTAATTTAAATAAAATAAACTTCCCGTCTATGGAGTTAACCAGTGTGCGAGTTTATTTTTAATTGTAAAATACTATAATATTGTTCGTACATTGTTCACTATTTTTGTTATTACTTACATATTATTGATTGTTGATTTTATATAGTTAAGCTAGTATAAATAGATATAGAGAAGTATAATAGGTGGACATATCTACAGCTAGGTTTTCATGTCACAAGGGTTTACTTAACCTAAATGGTCAATCAAATTTCAGTTATTGATATTATGACTCATGATAAGATAATAAAAGCAAAACAAAATTTTAAATTTGGATAAAAATTTTTTAGCTTCCCTTTTAACTTGACTAATGTACATTTTATATGGGGAACATTAAGCTTTTTACGCAAATTAAATTATTTACGGGCTATAGTTGTTAGTTACTTTTAATATAAAATCAAACGCTGAAATGTGTTTGGGACCCTATCATTACATGCAATGTATGTCATACGTATATTATACGTCAGAGTGTATTGTGTTTGATCATATTACAAGTCGGATGTAGTGAAATAACAAAAGTGAATGTCGTACCCCGTTGCTCTAAGCTGTACCTATTATTATTAGTCTACTTTGTATTTATTAGTCTAATGCATGCTAACTACAAGTTTGACTGATATAAGTTTAGAACATATACGTACTTCTCGAAAAGGGGGAAAGAGATACTTGTAAGAAGATGATATTAATAGAGAAAAACTTAAAAAGCTGACCTTACAAAGCTGAGAAGCTTATAGTAGATCGTGCTGGAAAGTTTTCGGGAACAAGGTAAATTTGTGATTTGCGACCTTTAGCCCTTGAAACACACAAGTCTAAGCCAGGTTTACCCTTTTTTATTTCTTAACTTTCGTATAGATGGTGCATGCAATAGATATTGTAGAAATAAAGCCACGAGTGTGGGATCATCACACGCCTTCAAGAACTTGTGCTCCCTGGCTGCAGCGTATTCAGGCAGTAAATTATAATGGTATATCAGGCTATTTATGTTTTGTTTATTAGTTAAATTTATCAACTCCTTCACGCTCCAATATTTTGTATTTTCCACTTTTTTATTATAAAAATCAATAATTTTACTGACACTTAACAAACATGTATGCCGTCTGTCTCTAGTAATCCCTAAAATCTAGGACGAAATCGCTGATCACAAAGTTAAGTCAAAAACATCCCCAGAAAGGCTGCAGGACGCGTTTGATTGGAAGACGAGGACACAATTAATGATTCTCGTCAAAATGCCCTGCAGACATAATGTATGGCGTCTGTCTCTAGTAGGTAATCCCAAAAATCAAGGACGAAATCACTGATCTCGTGTTGGATCAAAAACACTCCCAGCAAGGCTGCAGGACGTCTTAATTAGAGGACATAGACCCCACTAATGAATCTGGTCGAAATGTCATGACAGTTCAGTTCTTAGTGTTCTTTACTCAAAGTAACCATTATAAACATATCCCAACTAGCATCCGAGTTTCTTAAATGACTTCTGTATAACCTAAAAGTTGTATATTAGCAGTTTGAGGGGTTTACTATTACTACTAAGTTCTTCAGTAGCGTATTTTAAAATTAAACAGGCAAGTCGTACAATAGCAGTAAAACGGTAAAATTAATCCTAAGAGAAATATAAAGACTAGTCATAGAGCTATTATATGGGCATTTGGTGTAAAGCAGAGTTATAAACACCTTTTATAACACTTTGATGTCTTGTAGAGGGCTTTTGAACTTAGAAGTGTTTGAATGGAGTTATTAGCTTCGTCTAAAACGCTTTAGGTGGTATATGGTGCGTTTCTAAAGCCTTGGGCTGTTAAATAGATTTAACTACAGCTTTTGGAACTCTACAGGGTGTCCCAAAAAAAACACGCCAGAGCGACACTGTGGGTAGGTGAGCTATATACCTACCAGAAAAAAATAATTTGACCTTAGTAAAAGTCTTTTAGTTTTCGAGATATTTGCACTTTTTTTGGAATAACTCTACTTTTTGTTGAGTTTTTTGCTACTATTGCCAGGGTTAGCTCCAGATGGTAGTTGTTTGTATTTTTCAGGTAACCTGAATAGTTTTTCCAGGTACTGCAACTAATATTTTATCTGATAAATGCATTGACTTACAATTATATGGACGTCGGGTCCGCGCTAAAAAGTGTCCGCACTTGTAAGGCGCTAAAATCGTATACAGAGCGCGACACTCCGCTTTAGTCTTCATTTGTTCTACGGACAGCGCGATACTGCGATGACATAACAATTTAAATTTCGAATAGGTTGACTTGGGACATTTTTTTCGTGGTTTTTGTATTAGACCCGTCGTTTATTTGTAAGTCAATGGATAAATGTCATAAAATGTGAAAAAAGTTATTAATTTGGTATACCTCGTACCCTTGTAAAAAGTTAAACGTTAACTTTGAATAGCTAGTGTGAAAAAAAAATGTATGAAACTGAATTTGCAAATGATCTTAAAAATTGCTCCACTTATTGCAGAATCAGGAATGGTACAATATTATTGAGATTTTTCACAAGAACATAGTCATTTAATTTATTTTTCGTCATAACATACCCCTACCAGCCTAATCAGTTTCTAAACAAAATTAAATTTAAACTTTTAAATGAATTAATTGCTAAGCGCTAGGTAACGGCGCAACAATCTTTTTCCCACGTTGTATTCGTAATAAAGGAGTGAGATAGTTACTAGGCTTTTCTTTCTCTTTCTGAACTGGTACAAACAAACTGACAAATCAAACTTCCCAAAAGCATGCGGATTTAGCTACTAATGTCGTGGTAGAGTGCCTTTGTGTGTCGCTTGATTTGTCGCCGTTTTTACTTAATGGAAAATAAAACAATAAAATTTAAATAATTTAATTTTTATTAGATATTATAGCAAGTGTTCAAACTGCCTCCCTCTGACTCTAATGCACACGCGACATTTTTTGACGAATGAGCTTCCCAGACGCCTCAAACTCATTTGAGAAATTTCTCGAGCTGCTTCATAGACTCGTCGTCGTAGTTCGGTTTCTGTAGTGATAGCTTTGGAGTAAACTTTATCTTTTAAGCACCCCCAATAGAAGAAGTCGAGGGGGTTCAGATCAGGTGATCTCGGTGGCCACAAAATTGGTCCCAATCGGCCAATCCATCTTCGTGGGAACGTCTGGTCGAGGTGCGTTCGGACGTCGCGAGCTTAGAGGGCTGGACACCCATCATTTTGAAACCACATTCTTCTTAGTAATGCTATTGGCACATCTTCGAGAAGGTTTGGCAAATGGTTTTGTAAAATCTAAATAATTTTCGCCATTTAGAGTCGGAGGCAGTTCAACTGGACCAAATATTTCCCCATTGAAAATTCCGGTCCATAAATTAATTTTAAACTGGTGTTGGGACCGATCTTCTCTTCTCTCGTACGGGTTCTCTAACTGCCAGCTATGGATATTGTGGAGGTTTACATAGC